ATAACTGAATATGATGTCCTTTCCTAGCTTCGACATGTTTTTTGTTTAGTGTAACACTAGTCATTTGTGCAAATCTTTAAGAACTTTATAGGGAGGGATGTGACCCATCATCATTCGAGTATTTCCAAATGGCATCGAGGTCTCCGTCAAGACATACTATATTCTTTGTGGAGCTCATTATGAAATTTCAATTTCATAACTTTGATATGATCACTCTTGGCTCAAGCAAACATTGCTCAATCTAATCTAGACGTTTTGATATCTTGCCAAGTCGACTCTATACTTCACTGAACATTTGAGCTACTCAAGGCCCAGTTTGTTCACATTTGATGAATGTAGCCACATTCTTTCAAATTCTTGTGAAACGTTGAAGTAATGGAATCCTCTTTAGCTTTTGGAGTCAATTGTGTATGCCAAGCACAATAGCTCCTTTCATTGTCGATTTCAACAAGTAAGACTTGCTTGTTTTAGAGCAATTCCGAATCGATCAACTATCAAGAGTCTATCTAATAGAGCCTTGAGTACGTTCTTGTCGATGTGACATTGCTAAAGATGTTTGGAACACAAATCATGTCCATGACTTGAACCTTGTGAGTTTTCATGTTTGGGAAATGTTTGTTTATAATCTAGCATTCTTGACTCATGGCTTAAACAACCATGCCATTCAAATAAAACCCGCAACTATTGCTCTTTTACTTTGAATATGAGTCTTTCCGTGTGTAAACGGATCATTTGCTGATTATGGAACATAATAACCATTATTCGTTCCAACCTTGGCTTAAAAGGACTTTAAACAAAAGCAAATGACCTTACAACTGATGTAGCACTACTTGCTTCATTTTAAGCTTGTAAGTCAATAACTCAGCTTGACTTCAATGGTTTGAGGTCACTTTCAAAGTGGAACACTCAAGTAGTATCCAATACTTGTGAAGATAACGAATTGCTAAGTTAAACACAATAACATGAACTTGTGGGTAGAAAAGGAATCTTATTCCTATCCTTTGTTCCTTTTTTCCTATATTTCTTATCATACACCATCTCATAGAACCATTTCTTTAAGTTCCTTGACTTTTACACTTTGTTAGGCATAATTAAGCATCTCATGCGCCGTGAAACAGAGTTCCATCTTTTCCTTCAATTCGTACTAGAATTACTACATCAATGAGTCCTACTCATTAGTGTATGAACCGAAAACATATGTTGGTTGTCAACTATTGACAATTTGAGTTTTTCAACTCAATATTTCATGTTCACAAAAACTACCAAGTATTTTGAATACATGATATCCTACCGTTCTTTCGGACTTTAGTTATACAAGTCAATTATGAGAAGTTATATTTTAGAAATGCCTTTTCTTTCCTTGAGAACCATTCTCAAAAGATTTCCTTTACCAATCATTGAAAACAATATAATTTGATTTAGAATTCTACCAATATAAGTGCAAAGTATAACCATTTATCAAGTTCACAACATAATAAGTTTGAAATTCAAATAATACATGCAAACTTTCAATCTTATTACGCGTCTTATCCATGCATTAAAATTTATCCCTTTTAGGCGAGAATAAAACTATTCCAAGATCCCAAAAATTAAAAAGTGATTAAGCATGCTTTGGCTTGTCTTAACACTTAATATTTTAAGGTAAGCAATCCAATTGCTACTAGCTCTAAGCTACTCTTGGTTCAATAAAACATCGCATCTAATGCTTCCATGACATTTTATCTCCATTGCCACGACATCTAAGGACTCCTTACTGATATCATTGAGCTTAACCATGAACAACTTGTATACCTAGTATACCTTACGTGCCTAGCGAAGTAGTGATGCCTCGCTTTGGCGTAACCAAACACTACGCGCATTAGTTCGGTAAGTGTTGTTCTAGGAATGACAAATTTGGCTCAATATTATAGGGACCTAGGGTTTGTCTGTTGGTTGATTTAAGTGAACTTAACTAATCATCGCAGCATTTGAAATCCTAAACATGCATCTATCATACCATTCAATCATATATAAACACAATTATATATATAGAACATAAGTAAAAGATGCAATTGGCAACTAGCATGACCCCTTGAGTCTTTGATGCAACTTCTTGACTTGTCTTATTAGAAACGCCGTCTTCGAGACATCTCCACCAACTATGCAACTACTAGTTTCTATGACTAGGACTAATCTAAATATTAAGGTACAAAAATACGCAACGGTACGCGGACCCTATTTAGATTTGCAAAAATACATAACGGATCACAGTCCGTATTTACTATCGTAGTCGGGCCTCACTAGTTGCCATTTTCACAAAACCTGAGATAGAATATAGATTCCATTCATCCATTCACTATGAGTGAATGGCCCATGCATTTTACAACGAAAACAAGTAACAATGTATAACACGCGCAAACTAGTAACTAACTTAGGTGGTTAATCCGATTAACGCGCCTAATCAAAACTAGTCAAAAGTTGTCAACCAATTATGTGATTAAAATGCAATAAATTAGCTCAAGTAATTAACGAAGCTCGCACTGAATTCTGCATCCAACTTAATTAATCAAATTAATTAAGCCGGTTAACCCATATTTTGCCTCATTATTCTGCAAATGCCGGCAAAACCGAGGCCTAGCCTCGTTAGAATAAATAAATAAAATAATTAAAACTGGCCCATTAAACACAAAAAGGTAGCCCACTAAATGGCCAAGTGCCTATCATCAAAGACATGAGGCTAGGCTTGCTAGGCACCAAGGCCCCTTGGCTATGCGTGCTTGGGTGCTGGCCTGCCTAGCTAGCAGAGCACGCCACGCGTGCTGGCACCAGCAGCGCATGCTTGCATGCTGCGCATGCTTGCATGCTGCGCATGCTTGCATGCTGCGCATGCTTGCATGCTGCGCATGCTTGCATGCTTGCTGGCGCTGGCAGCGTGTAGCTGCCCTGCTGATGCTCGCAGGCCTTGCTGCCTAGCAACAAGTGAGGGTAGCCTCCAGCATCCACGTAGCACCACGCATCAATACTCCAAGTGGGCACCAAGCTCGCACACAATAGCGCACTATCGTAGCATGATCAGCCCACACACCTCGGAAACCACATGCAGGCTGCATGAGCAGCCCGGCTAGCCGTAGGTGGTGCTTGGGCGATGAATGCTTCGATGTACGTGCTTTTATCTCGGGATTTAATCCCGATCCACGTTTGACATAAAATTGACTCTAGATTAATTTTAGAATCAACATTGAGCAAGAATGAAAATATAACAAGTCTAACTTAAATAAATTCAATTTTAGTGAACAAACCAAAATTAATTCAAGAACCTTTCTTTAAATTAATTTAGGCTTATCTTGATGCTACAATATTGAAGGGCTATACTTGTAATTAATTTAACAATACATAAATTAATAATGAGATTTGACAAAATTAAAGAGTTTGGAAAAATAAACCCATTCATCTAATGAAAAAACTTCTGGTAAGCCCTAGAGGTCAAAAACGATTAAGAACATCGATTCCACCAAAAATTCACTATTTTTGGGTCGAAATCTGGGTTCGTGAGCCAAAATTACTAAAATACGGATTAAGACGAGTTTCTAACCTAATTAGAAAACAAAACTAGAAATTTAAATCCATTTTAAACCACCTCATTTAATTATTAGTTACAATAATTAGAGTGAGCGCAACTTCGATACCGCTGTTTGGTTTCGTAGTGTCCGACACTACGCGGAAGAGAAACCCGCCCAAGACCCGCCCACTAATTAAAGCAACTAAACATGCAATCACATAATTAAACAACAAAAGAGAAAAAAAGAGAAATGACATTCTTACCCTCGACGCGTGCTTCGCTCGCTTACGAGCTCTTACTTCAAAGCTCTAGCCTCGCAAGTGCGAAGGCCTCCGACGGCTCGCACCCTCGACCCGACCTGAGCGGTTTTTATCCCGAAGGTTAGTCGGGACTTGACCAAAGAAAAACCAGAGTATTACGAAATTAAAAGTTTTCCAACTTTCAAGGAGATGCCTTATTGAGTTCAACTCCAGTGATTTTTCCCAAACCCAAAACTTGGGTATTTATAAGGAAGGGAGCCTTGATCTCCCTTTTCCCATCAATGTGGGAGAATTGCATTTTTCCTCAATTTATTTTAATCAAAAACAAATTAAAATGCAAAGCAATCAACATGCTCTAAGTGGCATATGGAGAGCATAGGTAGGTGAGGACCACCAAAGGGAGGACAAAAATCCCCTTGCTCCCTAAGCAAGGCCATAAGACAGGTCCTTACTTTTGACCGGGCTGACCACGTACACATGGCTGGCTAGCAGCCTGCCTTGGCTGCCAAGGCTGCCCAGCTAGCGCTTAGCATCAAGGCTGGGCTGCCCAGCTAGCTCGCACATGCATGCGTGCAGCAAGCAGGCCACGCACGCAATGTGGGTTGTTGCTGCAATGTGTGTTGCTATGCGAGAGTGTTGCGATGCTCGTGCTAGCAAAGCCCAAAAAGCACTTGCGTGCTGCTAGCCCTGCGATACTGAGGTTGTTGCTGCTATGCTAGCAAGTACGCACATCCACTATACATGCGCGCATAGCTTGCGATGTTGCGAGCTATGCTTTGCGATGCTCAGCATGCTGCGATGGCTGGTGCTGCTATGCTAGCAACACTAGACAAAAAACCCCAATCCCCACCGGTTCAAACCCCCCATTCCCCACCGGTTTTGAACCGTTCTTGATTTAGGGGGTGGCAAATCTTCAAAGATATGCCACCGGTTTTAAACCGGTGGCAAAAAGAACTTTTCCCACCGGTTTTGGGGTGAACCTGTGGCAAAACATGCTGATTTAGGTTTAAGCTGAGCACTTTTCCCACCGGTTTTCAATTGAACCGGTGGCAAAACATCATCATTGCCACCGGTTTTCACACTGACCCGGTGGCAAAAGTGCCCCAAAAAATAAAATTTTTTTTTTTTTTTTTTTTGCATTTTTTTCACTTAAATTGTATCAAATACTTATATATAATCATAATATACATAAAACACATATATTTGCCTCAATAACTTGTAATATTACACTTTAAAAAACTAAAAAAAAAAAGTTAACTATTAACAAAATGAGTAGGTATAGATGAAGAAATCAATACACAACAATTCAAGGCAATAATAAACCTCCATTCATGTTTCCCCAAACCAAGCTATATTCAGAATCCAAAAATCATGATTTCATGGTCGTTTAATGATGTAACGCAAGCCATCATCATCAGCAGCAGCAAAACAACTCATCAGATGTCAGATCTTCATTGATTAACCCGAGTGTCCTTGGATGTTGGCATTGAACTGAGAATGTGAGACATTATAATAGCCTAAGTTTAAAATTCATGATAGAAACAACTACAAGATAAATTAATAACCATAAATGAGGTAGTCTAACCTTATAGAGTTTATGTCTGATGATAGCTATAATCAAAGTGCAGATCTTGAGAATGCTTTGTACTATCTAATTCAGTAGAAAACCGTGCTTCCATCATTTGCAAAAGTTTGGCCTTCACTTCACGTTCTTGTTCACAGGAACTTCACTATATTGATTTCCTGAGGAGAAAAAAATAGTGTTGTAATTGCCTAAAAGTAGAGAACCTTCCTGTTTGCAGGGTTGCAGCCAGATGATTAACTGAAAATTTTATTGTCTTTACCAGCAGCCAGATGATTAAAGACAGTTGAATTTCATTGAAGGACAATCACAAGCATAAACCACCTTCAAACTGAGGAGATATGCAATTGAAAGAACAAAAGCATTGGTTTCAGAAGTCAAAGATTAAACAAGCGTTACTTAACGCATTCCTGTTAAATTAAAGGGAAGCTTTGGTAGATGTTATTACACACATATCACACAAGTTAGCCCAATTCCTTTGAATTGTCCTTCAAGTTAACTATTACCCAAAGTTACTACCATCAGCAATCGTTATTCATTACACTGCAAACATATAGAAGTAGCAATTATATAAACTAGTTCATTCAAAAACTCTAAGCAACCTGGGTAACTTTTACAAGTTAAATCATCCCTTACTTCAGGGTACTTTGCAGGAAAGCAGAAGCATGCTACAAAGACAGGTTACTTCAGGTTTCACTTGAGAATGCTTACTCACATGATTAGGTGTTCATAAATGAAATCATCAAGCAAATATAAACCATGATAGTAGACTTGATGCCGAACTGCAATCAAAAGTTCTAGCAGAAATAAAGAAAATCTAAGACTAGGACAAACTAACTAACATCCGAAATCATGGCTTAAGAACACTAATCTCCTATAGAAACTTGTACCTTAATCAGTGAAGATACTCCGGGGCTAAGTACCCCATTGTCTTAGCTAGAATAGTTGGTTTCCTCAAACTAGAATCTCGGTCATAGACCTCAACCAATCCAAAATCACCAAGTTTAGGGTTAAAATCCAAATCAAGCATCACATTACAAGTCTTTAACATCCCTATGAATGACCTGCCTGTTGCATTATATTCTTCATGCAAGTATCCAAATTTAACATAAAAATCAAGAAAGAGTAGCGATTAAACTACCTATTTCGGTGCTCATTTAACCTTGAGATTGATATATATGAGTAGCTTGATCAGGATATTTATCATTGATTAATTTTGTTTTTTTTTAAAGTAAATAGTAGGATTAATTGAATTCAAAATATTTTAATTTAAATTAAATTTTAAGTCACAAAATAATGGTACAAATATATAAAAAAAATGAATAATTCATGAATCCATCAGGGGTTTTTTTATCCAAAACTTCTCAAACTGTGTTACCTCAACGGACAAACCGGAGCAAATCACAGTGAGAAGTATGAAAGTGAGTCCCTTCATCATATGGATTATCCTAGTGTAACTGTGTAACTTATCATCAACCCCTAACATAGTCAAAACTTCTGCCTAAAAGTCTCAACAACCATTTCATATGATTAGAATCTAATGGCAAATAGTGTTGACTAGAAATTGGGATGAAAATCTCATTTTTTTGACACACATCATTGATGCAAACAAACTGTATACCCCCATTATACAGAGCAAATTGTATTCACTTAAGGTTATATATACCCTATTAACCATCAAGTAAATCATTCTTAAATCACCATCATTATCATACCCATTAGCATAACAATCTTATAGCCATCAAGTACATCAAGGACAAATCACCAACATTATCATAATCATTAACACAACAATCTTATAGCCATCAAGTAAATCCTTCTCAAATCCCCAACATTATCATAACATTTAACGTAACAATCTTATAGCCATCAATTAAATCATTCTCAAATCACCAACATTTTCTCAATCATCAACATAAGCATATTCATCAACATAACAATCTAATAATCATAATCATCATCATAAGCATAAGCATAATCAATATCATAACTATCTCATAATCATAATCTCAATCAATATCACAGACATATATAATCAACATAACAATCTCATAATCATAATCAATATCATATCATAATCACACTCCCAACACCAACAGTGAACTTCACATCACCAAACGCAACCAAGCAAATATAATACCCTCGGCCAACAACAGATCACAGTTGCTGGCATCCAAATATATTTTCCAATACAACTAACCTAAATAAGATAAAATTGAAATAATTCAATAAAAACTAAAAATGGAGAGAGAAGACTTAGCTGAGTGATTAGTATAATTGATTAATATTACTGCCAAATGTCAAGATGAATAAAGCTTTTAGGAGCATATCCATTCTATAAGCTGCCAGAAAAAAGAATATATACCTAAATTGGTGGCAAAATTCAAAAGATTAGATAGTTGGATCAACAAATGCACAATAATTAAAGATTGCGAGATACAATTCAAGAGCACCCAATTAGAAACATCACAAAAGCCTAGAAATCAGAGCAGAGCAAACCCTTGAAAACCCAGAAACTTCGAACAAAGAAAAACCCAGAAATTTCGAACCCAGAAAACCCTAGAAGTTTGAAACAAAGCTCATTCCTTAGAATCTAACATTTCAAATTGAGGAGTATACTGATTAATGGCTTCAAAAAATCAAAACACTCAAAGGGGAAACTAGATACTGCCAGAAAATAAGAAACAAAAAATAAGCACGAAATTCAGAAAATAGGCAATAAAAATTAACACAAATTGATAGAAAAAATCAGATAAAAAACCGAAATTCCAAAAAAAAAAACCGAGAAACCCTGAAACCCGCAATTTCGAACATATTACATCAATTAAACCCAAAAAAATCAAGGCAATTTAACACTTGGTTCTAATGACGGTGGCGGCGATGATTGTTGTGCTTGGTCTTCGACTAAGGCCGGTGGTTGAGGAAGAAGAATGAGAGATGAGAGAAGAAAAAGATGAGAGAACAACGAGAGATGAGGAAGAAGAAGATGAGAGAAGAACGAGAGATGAGAATAGATGGTGGGTTTTTAAGGAGAGAGAGAGGTAGATGAGGAAATGAAAGAGACAGAAAGAGACCGGGTTTTTTTATTTATATTTAGCAAGGGTTTTTTGCACCGGTTTGGTTTGAACCGGTGGGGATAATAAAATTTTCCCACAGGTTTTTCAGGAACCGGTGGCAAAAGTGATTATCCAAAATCAAGCCCACTATTTTTCCCACCGGTTTTTAAGAACCGGTGGCAAAAGGGGGGTGGCTTTTTCGATTTTTCTACTAGTGCAAGCACGCACATCCATCCACGCATAGCCATAGCATACACACGCATGGCACGTAGCTTGCGATGCTTGTGCTGTGCAATGTGCGAGTGCTGGGCAATGCTTGGCACGCTAGCACGTATGCGGTTTGGGACCTCACCTAGCCTAGCACCCGCATGGCTAGGCCAATGCGATGCGATGCTATGGCTTGGCTCGTACTTGTTGCTTGCTTGATTCTACGTCTCCTTAAATTCGAAATTCGGCTTAACTTGTGACGCTCGGTTTGGACACTCTTAGCTCGATATCCGACGTCTTTGTTCGTAATACTCTAATAACTCATCTAATTCTTCGGATTGGTTCATCTTTTGAGATCGGTTACTCGATTGGGGTGCAACCCAAAGGGTTCAGTCAAGATTAAGCCGTAATATTAATTACACATTAATATTACTAATCGGAAGCGGCCTCCACCTAGGCATTCCGATCACTTAAACTCACCGAAGAATTAGCTTTCTGATAATTCAGAACCCTCTATCGGAATAACACACTTGTGGGAAGGACACCATTCCTTTCACATGCTAGCGTGTTAGCAGCAGCCGCACCATTGCTAGCAAGGCCAGCAGCACGCAAATTCTTGTTGTGCCTTACGAGTGATAGCAGCAGCTAGCTAGGCAATGCTAGCGATAGCAGCACAGCAGCAGCAGCTCGCAAGAGCTATCTATAGCAGCACAGCAGCTAGCTAGCACAAGCAACGTAGCAGCAGCAGCCCACATTGCGTGCATGGCCTGCTGGCTGTGCGTGCGTGCATGCGGGCTGGCTAGCAGACCCAGCCATGACGCTAAGCGCTAGCGAGGTTGCGTTGGCTGCCAAGGCGGGCCGCTAGCTAGCATATACTTGTTCGCTTGGTTTGTTAAGAGTTTGCATGGGGAGCAAGGGGTGGATGGTCCCCCCAAGTGATCCTCACCTAACCACTTGCTCTCCCCTTGCCACTTGTCGTTTTGTGATTAATTTGGATATTTAATTTAATTTATAATTAAATTAATTTCCATTTTGCATTTTTCCCAACTCTCCCACATTAATGAGAGATGGGATTTCAAGGGCTCCTTTCCCTATAAATATCAATCATTTGGCATTGGGAAGGAAAACTTGAGTTGTGAACTTGACGGGATCTCCAAGAAGAGAAAACCTTCGTTCTAATACTCTAAGTTCTTTTTGCCCTAGCCCCGACTAAGCTTCGGGGTAAGGGCCCGGTCGATTCGGGGAGTGAGGGTGTTAGCCGTCGGAGGTTCGTGCATTTGCGGGACTCTACGCTTTCAAGTCCGAGCTCTAAGTTAGAGCTAAGCACGCATCAAGGGTAATGATTATTTCTCTCTCCTCTTGTTAATTATGTGATTATGGTTTTAATACATGCTTAGTTACTTTTATTTGTGTGCGGATTTTGGGCGGGTTTCCTTCCGCATGGTGTTGGACATCACAAAACCCAACAGCGATATCAGAGCCGTGTGCATTTAATTATTGTAACTAACAATAAATTAAGGTGATTTAAATGGATTTAAATTTCTTCTTTTGCTTTCTAATTGGATTATATGCTCGTTTTAATTAGTTTCAATCTGGTATTCAAACTAATTTTGGCTAAAGAACCCAGATTTCGACCTAAGACTAGTGAATTTTGGGTGGAATTGATGTTCTAAATTGTTTTTGATGCACTTTGTGGGAGCTCTAGAAGCCAAAATCCATCCAGAAACATGTTTTACAAGGGGTTTTTCGTTTTTGACAAAAAAATTTAAATCTTTAAACCTTGATTAATTAAGGCATGTTAATGTTAGATTATGTGTATGGTTACACCATTAATCTACTGCAATAATAAACTTTATTAAGCATATTTATGAAGTCATAATTTTTTCTTAATTTGGTGAGTTCATTTTTCATATAAACTTGCAATTTCACATATTTGCAAATTAATTGCTTCAAGTGTGAATGTTTTTGGTGAATTGTATTTTTGAAGCCCCTAAAATGTTAAAGATCCAATCTTTAATTGTTTATTTGGTTGGAACTTAACTTTCTAAATTCCATGTTGAACTAATTTTTGATTTTAATCATTTTGAGTTGATTAAAGTCCTAA